ATTAGCCAGTCAGGCAGAGGAATTGGCTGAATCTGATTTTGCTGATACTTCTGTTGATCTTGGTATATCTTTTGACCTTCCTTGAGTTACATTTATAAATTTACACGTATCATCTTCTTCTGAAACTTTGCCCTAAAAATTACAAGCAAAAATTAAAAACATATGGTATTATAATGCTTAACACACTTCACTACCTATCAAATACATGTACATGTATATGTAATTCACCACATACTGTATTATTTCAGCTGTAGTGCTCTTAGCATCACTAGCAGTAGTAGCCAATAGTGATCCCAGGCAGTGCCACGTGGAGGCAACATTACATTGCTGCCAAAAATAAATAATAATAAATAATAACAAAAATAATAAATAATAATAAAATAATAAATAATGATAATAAATTCACTATTTGTGTATATATATATATATATATATATATAATGTAATTTGCATGTACAGTGTACATGCAAGTGCGTGTACATTGTATGCATGGTAACATTAAGTAATGTTAATGGTAAATTTGACTATAAAACTTACCATAAGATCAATTCTTTCATTAATCCTCTTTTGCAGTACCAGCTGCCCTGTGTTTCAAACGCATGTCTTACTTGCCAGTCAATTTTATCATGTGATCGACAAAGAAATTTTCTCTACAAGTTCTTCCAATCACACTATAAGAAAAGAGAGAAGAGTTGAGCAAATTTTTAAGAGCTGTAAATTTTGCCATTCTTTGATAATTTTTCAAAATTAAATTCAAATTATCATAGTACAAGATGGCAGGCAGTATATTGTCATGAATATTAGATCCACAAAATTGATTTTTAGGTAAATGGCAAAATTTACAGTGATAAAAAATATTGCGCTATATACCGTACACTCTTCCTCTCTCTCTCTCTTACCATCAAGTGGCTGATGTTTAAGTCTCTAAATGGCACTCCAAAGATGAAAAATGAATCTAGAAATAACAATAGGAACAATTATAGGAACAATTCACCTCAAAGTGGGTGACAATTTTAAAGTAATATTTTCTCTCAAAAGCAGGCAACAATTTTAACCTAAAATTTGGTAGTGTTTGGTATTTGTAATTTTCGACAAAAATTGGCCAAATTCCCTGTACTATTATTGCACAGAGACTTTGGTCAGATTTTAAAGGAATTTTAAAAATTTGAAATAAATCAAAATTTGATTGGAACCAGCTCAAACTTTCTATGCAACATAAGAACAAGTATAATGCATCACAAAAAATTATAAAAATGGAGAAATCTCTACTTTTCAATTTTGGTTAAAATTTGGCCTAGGACCATTTACTAAAGTACAGACTTTGGCCTGATTTAAAAATTCGTAAAAAAATCCAAAATTGATCAAAATGGCTTAAACTTCTACACAACATAAGAACAGACATGTTACATGTACATACACATGACATGCACAATAATTCAATTAGTTATAATAATGTATATCCTCCTTAAATAACTCTATATTTACCTGACCCCAGTCATCCCAATGCTGATCCAGGGTATTAGACTCATCAGTTCCTTAGGCTCCATGTCCCCCCGGCCTAGTCTCACTAGCCAGACCATTCCCCAGCTACCACCCAATGACTGTAGGCTGGTCTGGCAACCAGTGGCTAACGAGACTTACAAACCCTCAGCCCCTTTAACTCCATTAGGTTCACCTCTATAATGAATCTTATTGGAGTATAAACTTTTGAATGAACATGTACTCATTATTTAATTATAGTTATAATAATGTATATCCTCCTTAATTAATTCTACATTTACCTGTCCTCAGTAATGACAATGGCGGGTCCAGGGTATTAGTTCTTTAGGCTCCATGGCTTTGGCAGGAAATGCTGTTTTGTTCAGTCTCAGTTTCGTTACACTTTTCCTCCATTTTATTAATTAAAATTTATGAGCCACACCCACTTTATTGGAATCTTTTAAATTAGTATTTCAAAAATGTGAAAGGAACGAATCAGAACAGTGGAACATTACATAAATACAACATTTTAAAATAGAAAATAACATTAGCTAAAAATTTAAATCATTTAAGTGCAGCATCATTCATCATTAGTTCTAGCTCTTTTCACAGATTGTTCAAACTGAAGTGTACCCTCCAGAGCTGCTGT